CCCCCCTGCCCCATTTGGGAAGCCTGTCCCCTTCGCAAGGAGAGGAAGGGAGTGGGGTGATGCATTCCCACTGCACCATGGGGAGGATATGTGCCCCCCGGGCACAGAGCAAGCCCCTCTCAGGAACAGTGCGTGGGTAGAGACCGACTCCGGGCAGCCTTTCCTTTGCTTTCCAGCTCTTTGCCTCTTCCCTTATTCCTCCGCATTGTTTTTTTCTGTGTCCACATCCCCATTCACCCACATGTGGATCCTCCACCCCCGGGAGGCGAGGTGGTCCCCCAGCCCTGCTGAATCAGTTCACCCGAAGGCAGAGCCCCCCCCTCCCCACTTGGTGTGACTGACAGGAGGTGCTGATTCAGTGGTGTGCGGGGGATCCGACAGCAACCGCATTAAGAGGATTTATAAAAGAGATAAGGCGCAGCGCTGAGCTTCCCTTGGTAATCGTGCAGCACACAATTCGGGACTGTACGGGGAATTTCGGCACGGCTGACAGGTATACAGAGCTGATCCAATTGTCCTTACAGCCGTTATTAGCCCAAAAAAAAGGGGCAACTGGAATTACAAATGATTTCTGGGTAAATGCTTAGCTCCAGTTCTGAATGATCTCTCAGCAATAATCCACACGTAATCCTCAATACAGAGAGTCTGCGTTAAAGGTGGCTCCATTTTGAACAGGCCTCAATAAGGCTTGGATGTCCTGATTCGCAAAATAAAGGAAAGGAGGAAATAGGGAAGCAATGTTTGTTTCACAGTCTATTTTTGTTTTTCTGTGTTGAATATAGGGAAGTTCATGGTCATGTGAATACTTTTTATGAAGAGAAGATGACCTGCTTGGTAATTATTTCTTTGGGAGAATGATTTTACACTACAATGACCGTGCATGGCTGTCTCAGGCAGGTCTGATATATCTAGAAAACAAACAAATGAGCAAAAATCTCCCATAATGACTTGAATTGTGATATTTATTCCTCAGAACACTTTTTTATTTTTTTTCTTTTAATAGAGAAAGTCAGAAACTGGGTAGCTGAGGAGACTTAATGTGAGGGAATACATGTGCTGATGTTTTGACACCTACTCTCTTCTCCTCAGCACATGCTGATACAAAAGATCACCTGGTCCAGTGGCACTTGTGCAGCCCCATTAGCAGAACGCCTGAGTGCTCTGCAGTCTTTGGTGCGTTGGTTGGCCTCAGCATGAAGCCCCATGAAGTGAAGCAGGAAAGTGTGCTGCTCCCAGAGGCACAAATGCCAGAAAGAGGCGAGTGTCCCTTCCCTATTTCTGTGTCTATATCCCTGTAAGCTTGGTCATAGTGTGGCACCTGGCCCTGCATGGCCCTTACCTGGAGTGCTGTGAGGCTGGGGCTGAGATCTGAAGCCCTGTCTGTGGTCAGCACCATCACTCCAGGCTCATCCTTCCTCTCCCCAACTCACCCCATCAGAGTGAGGCATGGGGAACACTGATGCTCTTTCTCTGCACGATGACGAGCCCTGCTGTTCCCTCAGAGGACTGCTGTGTGCAGCAGGAGGGAGAGTTGCAGGTAGGATTCAGGTCCGAACTGCCTGTCATTTGCACATGTATGAAACTAGAACCATAGGCTACCAATCTGTACTCTAGCCAGACCAGAGGCAGAATGAGAGAGAGACAGTATCTCCAAACCTCTCTCCTCACTTTGGGTGCCTTATGTTGACATAAGACCCAGGGCTGGGGTTACAGAAGGTCTAATTCCTCTTAGCACACGCTCGAGCACTCATGCCTTGCTATTTATCTCCTTTGAAGAGTGCTTTTCCTACAACAACTTGATTGCCAGAGAGTGGGCACAGAAGAGTTTGAGTCTGCAATAATTACTTGTGTGAGTAATCCTTGGGTAATCCCAAGAGGTTTTACCTGTCTGACTAAGGACTCTTAGAATATCACCAAACCCTTGGATATATCCTCTAAAAGTATTTTTGGCGCGTTGCTTCCTCTAGGACTTTCAAGGGGACTGGAGTAGGTTTTGTAATCTCTGGTATACCTTAATTAACATCCTTGAGACATTTTAAACAATAGGCTCAGCTCTTGGCTATACAATAGAGAAATGTTGGAAACGATATCTGTTAATTGTGAATCACATTCTCCTAGCTACCTGCTACAAAGGGGAAAGTAGGGCCTGCCAAATGCTACAGAAAAAATTTAATCTTTCCCTGCTAGCAAATTCTGAAAAAGCAAATAACATTTTCATAGTTTGTTTACTCATTTGCTCCTCAAAAGAGGCAAAGGAATCTGTGAATCAGAAGAATTTCCATCTCAAAAATTGCTTTGGCAGCCAGTGGCTTGTAATTTAAGATTAAGTGACTGAATTTCATGCAGCCTTGCTTAAAATTCACTACCCCACACACTGTCATCATACGCATAAAAAACCCCACACAACAGCCCCCCTCCCCCTCGGCATCTATAACATCTACTATAAGTCAGTAAAAAAATGTCCAATCAGCTGGGAGGTCACAAAATGTACTTAATAAAGATGTTGTCTGCATGACTGCTGGATTTTTTCCCCTCACAGCATTCGCAGCCTATCAGGCAGTTTCCGTTCCGATGCAATGCCAGCGCCTGGGCTGACTTCAATCAGGCTGCACAAATCAGCGGAGCAGAAATGCCTTTTTCCCTCTATCACCTGAAGCCAACGCTGATTCATCTCTTCAGACCCATTCCTCCTGCCCCACTTCTGAATATGCTGATTCATTTTTTCTTTCATTTATTTTTTTTCCCCCCCTTTCCCCCTGGACCTAGTGCCCCGCGTTGAATGTAATGCGCTTCGTTGCCAGACCTGACTGAAAGAGAATATGGAAATTAATTGGCTCAGGCTGCTCGCAGCCCTTTACACGCGCCTGTACTCGGTGAGAGGTGCCACGCAATTGCCTTTCCATTGTGGCTTCCCACCAGCCACCTGTCTCCTTGCGCGCGCGCTGCTGCTGCTCTCAAGCTGGGTATCGGAGATGGATGTCCCCTTCCTCTCCCTATTGTGCAAGAGGGAGGGCAGCTGGCAGGGCTGTCCTTGTGAGGGCTGGAACTGCCCCCGTTGGACTCAAAATAGGCCAGATTTAGTGAATTCTCCAGCTTGCGGTAAAAAGCGTGTGACTGGTGCTTTGGCGAAGGCTGCAGAGAGATGTTGTACAGTGCAGTGTCACTTCTGTTAAAATGGTTATTTGTTCTCGCTGCTGGAAGGAGAGCCCAGTTGAAAGAAAGCAGCCAGGGAATATCCTTCTTCCATGAGAGTGAGGTACTGGGACTCTTGCAAGTTGGAATATAATCTTGCTCCTCAGCTACGCTCCATCCCAAATATTTTCACGCATAGGTTTCTATCTTTCATTGGTCTCATACATAGTTTTCTCATCGAGCTTTCTCCTGACTGTGGAGAATTTGGGTTTCCCTCATGAAGTTGTCCCAAATCTTGGATGTGGGAATATTATCCCTATCATTGCAGAAGGATAGACTGAAGATAGTGGCCCCACTGTCCCATGCTGAGCGCTGCACACTGTCCCAAGGAGCTGCCCCATGGCCCTGTGGAAGTTTCCAGCTCTGTGAAAAAGACAAAGTTGGGCAGAAAGGTCTTATCTCTTTGACATGCACAAGAGAGACCTGAAAGGATTAAGACCTTACAGGCAGACCGGCAGGAAGGCAATGTCAGGCAGACCAGGAGCACCTACGTAACAGGGGGAGGAATGGAGACCCAGAGCTCAGAGACACAACCGCTCCAGGGCTCTGGGAGTGCCCCAGCACTTGCTGGGGGGCCACGGGCTCCTTTGAAAGGTGAATGGTGCAAAACTCACCTTGACTCCATCCCTTGCTGGAGCTGAGCTCTAATATTAAGCAGAATATTGGTCATTTGTGCTCATTGTTTTTCACTGGAAGCACTTCAAAAAGTGGCTTTTAGAGTCCTGAAGAAGGGCTTCTGTGCCTAGACGCTTGTCTAATTTTCCCACCTACAATCAGTTGATATAACAAAAGAAACTGTCTCTACATATAGACTGTCTTACCTATGTCCTTTGACCATTACAGTCACTACAAAACTACTTTGTGGATGTTACAGTGTTCAGCAAGAGATCAGTGGCACGAACACTACAGAAGTCTGCAGCTGCCCCACATTAGGAATAAGAATATTTAGGTAGGGACAACCTCACCTCACCTGTGGCATCAACCTTTGTGTCCTCACCTCAACAGACTGATGGTGTGAACCCTAGTTGCTCTTGGCTTATTTCTATTTGCAGGGACTCGGGCTGACTCAGACTCTTGTGGCACTGTAGGTCTGATGCTGCCTGAGACGTCTCTGGCATGATGCCCATCTTTCTCTTCCATCTTTGAACTGCCTCTTCCCCAAGAAGTCATGGCCTACAAGAAGGACTGCTTCCTATTATTAATACAATAGCAAGAGATGAAAGCAGGCACATTTGTAATGCAGTATCATTTACGGAGAAGACACGATCTCAGGCATACTGGATGTCAAAACCAAATGAGAAACTTTTCTTCAAGTTTTATCACAGTTTCTCACAGAGCCACTGCTACTTGCATTCTGGAAATTTACAGGATGAAGGATTTTGTCATGATATCTAATTCTAATCTCAAGTGATTTACTGTTAACTTGAAAATCAAGCCTGTACATATCCCCCTCCAAGTGGTTTCTATGACAGTTTCTATTAACCATAAAAATGTCACTTGCTAGGAAGTATCAGCCTTCTTATAGGCTTTGCAATCATCACTACCAGATGCACACTTACTGAATGGAATAAATAATAGTCTTGTACAATTAGCCTAGGATGCAGGACATATCTGGCTATCTCTCTTGGCTCCAAAGTGAAGTTTTCACAAGCAAAGGCATATATCAAGAGATGACGTCTGTCTGGATTCTCTGGAGTTCTGCAAAACTTGAAATGTAATATCTTATGGATAAAGCATGGTGGCACAGAGACTTAGGCTAACAATTCTGGTGCATATCTTAGTGGTTTTGGTCTGTATAAGCAACTGAAATACCCATTTTCCATTGTTCTGATCCAATGGGAAAAAATAATAATTACTGTGCCTATTTGGTAGCTTACAATGTATTCTGAAATAAACTAATAGCTCTGTGGCATTTCCTGCTGTTGCACAATCACAGTGCACCTGGTACTGTGCGAATGCACCGTATACACTTTGTCCCTATCTACCCTTGAAAGAAATGACACACAAAGCCTTCCCTGGAACTGGGGGGTCTGGACGACGGCTGCTGTCTATGGGATGTGTTAGCAGTGTTGAGACACAAATCTGAGTTAATCTGGTCTTCAGGAATGAGCTGAAATGAGAGTTTGGGCTTGTGTCATGTTCTGCCAGAGATCTTAGCCATTACACTCAAGGTCTCTGCTGTTGGCAGGGATCTCAAGAAATCAGCCTGAATAATGAAAATGACATTTAATCAATTCTCACATTGTAAGCCATATTCTGAAGAGAAGTCATAAAGAAAGTTGTAACCTGGACCTTCATTGCTGTGTTTGTATCTGAGGACTGAAATCCAGGGACTGCAAAGCTGATGTGGTGGATTCAGACTGCGTGAGACACATTACCCTTAGAGTAGCAGAAGTCTTGGAGCCATGCAGCAGAAGCAGCAAGAAATCTTGTTGTTTCATCTGCCTACAAGAATAAAATCATATTGTGCTCTTCTTTGCACCAGTCTGACTATTGAAGACAGGGAACTTTGACTTGTATGTCAGGGAAAATGTCACTGTGGTGCAGTTTGCAGCCGGTAAAATGAATAGAGATACCAGCAAGTTCTGCAGAGCTTCTGGATCCCTTGATGAAGTGAGCTTACAGACCCTGGGAAGATCTGAAACAGCGAGGGGAGAAAGAAAGTATTTGGTCACATTTCTAGAGTAAGGAGATTGTATATTTGAAAGTAGAAGCTTTGAGAGGGACACATGGGCTATGACTTCAAAAAAGGTTGTAACTGCCCACCAGTTCCAAGAAGATTTTTGTGATGGGAATGAAAGCAAATGTTTGCTTATAAGGTGAGCATTATCAGTGCAGGGAGCTGTTATGTTG